TTCACTACAAATACACTACATTCATTATACACACTCTGCACTCACTAAAAACACACTGCATTCATTATACACACTCTGCACTCACTACAAATACACTACAATTATTATTCACACTGCACTCACTACAAACACACTACATTTATTATTCATACTCTGCATTCACTACAAACACACTACATTTATTATTCATACTCTGCATTCACTACAAACACACTACATTCATTATACACACCCTGCACTGCACTATATGCATAGGAGTGTAATTTATTTTTTTTTATTTTTTTTAAGGGGGGGTGGGGGGGGCGGGAATCTTGGGTGAGTTCCCACACTTTTTTCCCCAGGACTTGACCCCTGGCCAAATACATTCTTTGATTATCTCACACATATTCCATATATGATTTATCCAATCATCTCATAAAACTGAAGAGGAGGGAAGTGGACTTGGATTTACATGGTATTTTCATTTTTGATTATTACAGAGCCAAGCACATTCCCTGGGGGTTTTGTGTTAGAAATGCTCCCACCATTGGATGGCAAAATCTGGAGTTTTGCAACAACAAAAAAATATAGATTGGAATTGCAAATAAATGTTCCTTAGATTGGATGATTATTGCGTAGAGATCAAAAATAGTTTTTTCTTAAAGGACCACTCTAGGCACCCAGACCACTTCAGCTTAATGAAGTGGTCTGGGTGCCTGGTCCAGCTAAGGTTAACCCATTTTTTTTTATAAATATAGCAGTTTCAGAGAAACTACTATGTTTATGAATGGGTTAAGCCTTCCCCCAAATCCTCTAGTGGTTGTCTCATTGACAGCCGCTAGAGGCGCTTGCGTGATTCTCACTGTGATTTTCACAGTGAGAAGACGCAAGCGTCCATAGGAAAGCATTATGAATGCTTTCCTATGAGACTGGCTGAATGCGCGCGCAGCTCCTGCCGCCATGCACATTCAGCCGAAGAGGAGGAGAAGAGGCGGAGAGGAGGAGGAGAGCTCCCCGCCCGGAGCTGGAGAAAGGTATGATTTTAACCCCTTCCTCTCCCCAGAGCCCAGCGGGAGGGGTCCCTGAGGTTGGGGGCACCCTCAGGGCACTATAGTGCCAGGAAAACGAGTATGTTTTCCTGGCACTATAGTGGTCCTTTACGGAGCCTATTAAGAAATTTGAAGGCACTCATACTGCCACTGAACGTATGATAAAGTTACAGACTTAAATTATAAGGTACATGAAAGACCTCATCAAATTCAAGAAGCATTAACTGGAAAAAGTTAATTTTGACAACAGTCACCATCCACGTATATGGATGTCTCTCTAGGCATAATAGGCAATGTCTGAAATTTCCAACACGATGAATCTGTGTCCATAAACCACGAATAACTAGTAAAAATATCCACATGACAGATTAAATCTACTTCAACTACCTCAGTCTTTTTTAGCATTTGGCCTCTATCAGTCAAATGATCCACCAGGCTCACCTCATCATTACAAGGGGACAACAACAAAAAAAACCCAAATGACCTAGGAGGGAGAAAAATTCAGAAATCTAAAATCAAAGCCTCCTTTGCAAAGGAGATGAGTCCGGTTTTTAATCTTTCATCAAAGATCTTGACACCACAACACTTTAAAGTGCTCTCTAAGGGATTATCATCTTTCCGGTTTCAAGTGCTGAGAAATTTCAAGTGGTAACTGAGATAAATCAAATGTGGAGAATTCATAATATTAATCTTAACCTTGACCAATCTGAGCGTTGGAAATGTAAACCTTTCAAAAATAGAAGAAATTGAGAACTTAAAGTTTTGAATAACATGATTAGCACCTTACTCTTAATAACATAATTAAGATATTTCCTCCGTTGATCCAGAGTGATGTAAATCATGTCCTTAATAAGAGGGACTCATAACGTTATAATCTGACCAGTCAGGAATATACCGTTTTAAAAGATTTGACTAATGATGTCACAACTGTGATCCGACAGCCTGATAAGGGGGGATATATTGATGTATACAATTACTATCGAAAATAAATGTTTTCTCAATAATCTGATCACTGCATATAAGAGAATTAGCATTGATTCTACTACTACCATTTACCTAGAAAGTTCAAGATCTCATCAAGACACGATTGTTATCTTGATACATTGATAAATCTGCTTCAGAATTTCATCTAGAAAAACATCATTGAGTACCTTTATTATACACATTACCTAAAATTCATAAAGATCTACAACATCCCCCTCGGTAGACC